CTCTCTCCATCTCCCACTTCTCCCTCACTCAGTTCTGCCCCTCTCTCCGTCTCCCACTCCTCCCTTTCTAATTAATCACTAGTAGCTCTGTCACTGTTTTTGTCACTGGATGAACACATTGAACAGTGTAGGACAAAGCCGTAACAATCTAAAAGGTCCATGGATATAATTCCAGGAGAAAGGGAGGCAATAGGAACAGGGAACAACATTGGGTTCATTCTCCCCCATCCCGATACATTGAAAATGGGAGTTATCGAAGAATCACAGCAATCAATGTCTACAAAGGAGTCTACAACAGACCCAGGCACAAGGTGCGGAAAACCCTGGATGCTGGAGAGATTTGGGAACCATTGGGCCAAAGTCACCCATTCCTCGCTCAGCACCTTACACTCCCCACATTTCTCAGCTCACATTGCAGAGTGACCTCTCACTGGAGGGCAATCCAGAACACAGTAACCAAATTCATGTTCCCTGGCCTGGTGAGGTTAGTCTCCCCGTTGCTGATGGTCTGTGCGATTGTTGGTATCGCTCTGGAGCAGCTACACTGAGGAATACTGGCCAGGGAGTGGAGAAGGGAGACTGAAAGGGCCCAGAGCTCATGGAGTTGGAGCCCAGGGTGAACTATTCCCTCCTGAGGTTGGTATCCAGTGAGGACAAAATGAGAATTTTGTTATGACTTTGCCATTAAGTAGGAAACACAGCTACCTGCAAACGCCTTGGAGATTCGATCCTTCTTCCATTCCCAGGGCTGGTCGTATTCTCCCGGCGGCCGCTCATCATCTTCTGGGAGGCGACTCTCTCGTAGGCGGTGGGACATCTCCGTGTCGGACTGTCCGCCGTTCTCCACCGGCTCGTATGGAGTGTCGTACAGCGGCAGCGATCTGCTGGATGCATCCTTCGATCCTCTCCGGCGTATCTCTGTGTGACATCAGGAGATTGTTAACAAAACCTGAAAACTCTTAGCAACACAACAAGAGAAACTCCTGAGCCTAGGGAAGTACCTGGCAGACTCTGAACAGAGAGGGACATTGGTTTTAAAAAGGTCAGGAACAGAGGCAGGAGGACGTCATATTTGGGCTGCCAGGTCTCTCCCACTATTCTGCTGTGACCAGACACCTACATTCTATGAAAGAAACTTTTAAAAATGCAGATAGGGCCCTTAGCTAATCAAAAAACTTTAACCAATCATCTTAGAAAATCACAGAGTAGGCCATTCACCCCTTCAATCATCCAACTCAATACCTTTTCCACCTTTCTCCCCTTGGTCCCTTTAGCCCTAAGCAATATCTCCTCCCTGAAAACATTCAATGTTTTGGACTCGACTGCTTTCTGTGGCAGAGAGGCTCCCCACTCTCTGGGTGAAGACATTCCTCCTCATCTCAGCCCTAAATGGCCCACCCCCATATCCTGAGACCGCGGCCTCCTGCTTCTGGAGCACTTACTTCACATTCTTGCATTGTTTGTACTCCGTCTCATCTCCAGAGCCCCTCTCGCTCCCTTTCTTATGTTACATCCCTTGGTCGCCTGCAGCAATGACACAACAACAATTTGCTGAGCTGGGATGCACCAGCCCTCCACTGCATCTCGAGCAGGACATCTAGACTCACTGCCTCTAAAATGTGACTCAAGACGCCTCCAGGAACTGTGCAGCCCAAAGTCCCTCTAGAGGGATCTCTCCCTGTCGCTAGAGTCAGGTTTTGCGATGCCAAGGGGTAAGTGAAGCAACGAGAATCCACCAAAAGTTTAGGAAGAGAAATGTCAGCATAATTCCCTCAGCAATGGACTTGAGATGATAAATAATGGCACAGTGGAGAGAAGGCGCAGTTAGGGCTGGGATTGGGAGCCCCAATTAGACCAGAGGCTTTTTTCCTGTAACCAGGTGATAGTGAATAATCAAACAGGCTGAAAACTGCACAAGGGAAAAACAGAACCAATTTAAGCTCAGGGCTGCCTGCTCCCTCATTAATTAGCTATAAGCCTCACCTTCCAGAAATGGAGAACGAGGTCATTCATACATCAAAACTGAATGGCCTTTAACACTGCAGCCTGCATAATTAAACTTTAAAGTTACATTTAGACTATGTGCTTTTAGCATACAGTGCGTTATTGCTTCAATTGTGCCCCAGGGTATTTACCTGATACAATCATTAATACAGTGCATTTGCACACACAATTCATCATCCAAACATAACCTATACACCATGGTAATGTAGGTTATTAATGACCCTTCCTACGTACAATTAGCAGAGTACAGTAGATGTGCAGAAAATACCATAAATCACATCTTTAACAGGTTGAGACCCAAATCTTTTCTGCCCGCCTCTCTTGAAGAGCTGGACTCTCTTCAGGGTACAGCACATACACGCTTACCACTCATTTACCAATCCTTGGCATTGACCTTTTGATGAGGGGCAACGGATGGCTATCCAACCATAGGAGATATCACAACCACATGGTAACCAGTTCCTGCCAGGAGACTACATGTGGCTTTATCTAGCAATGTACAGATGGTTAAGCAATCACATTCAGGAACTTCTCATTTTTTTCTTTTTCTCTCTCTCTCTCTCTCCCTCCCTAGCCCCCCATCCCCAACAGCCACATAATTTGCACATGTTTCTCACTACCTGGAGGTCAAGAAGCAGCAATGGATGTGAGCTGATCCCATCAGAATAGAAACAGTGTTGTAGATCTCTCCAGGGCTGTGGTTTTAAATGGGGTGGAAGGGGTGCTTTCAGCACTGCTATGAATGATGGGACACCCTGACCTCCATTGCATGTCTTGCTGCAGAGCAACAGAAAGGGAAGTTGGTGGGAAATTCCCAAGGCAGTTGATACAAGTTGAAGATCAGACTCCTTAAAGGCAGGGATCTGGAGAGCTCTCACACAAGCTGAACACGGTAGAGTCAATATACCTGCAAATTCACATTCTTTCGACAATCTGTCCTCTTTTGTTACTGCAACATCAGAATAGCTGCCACATTATAGAATTCCCACTTACAGCTCAGCGTTCTATTACTTTATCATAAATTCCACAGCTAATTCAAATGAAGTGTCTGACTGCAAATATGAAGTACTTTACTTTGGACTTAATCTATTTTTGACCATGTAACTGGTCAATATTTGAGTGTAAATTGATACCAATTGTTTTGTTCAGTCAATTCTACAACAGGAAAGAATTCACTTACACCAATGCTGTTAATGTACAAGAGACTCAATTCTATCCCTTCAATTACTGCCACCAGCAATGGCGATTAGAGAAGCATCTATTGATTGAGTCCTTTGGACCATCGGCAGTGCCTCCCCTGCCAGGGGTGTATCACTATTCATGGCAGTGGGTCTGCAGGAAAGTACCTATATTAAAGGGGATTTCATAGAAATATAACAGGAATTGTTCAGGTTGCTTTGAAGGGAGTGAATATCCATTGGAAGTTCCTTGAAATTGAGTCAAAGTGTTGCGTCAGCAGGCCACATCTCAGGAGTGCACCAATAATTTAAGAGAGTGCCTCAGGAACGCACCAGTATTAAAACAGGTTCTCCCGGGGATGAATCAGAAGCTGCATTAGAAGATCTGAACATTAGAAACAGGAGAAGTAGACCATTCTGCCCATCATGCCTGCTCCCCCATTCAATAATGATCAGGGCTGATCTTGGGCTTCAATTCCATATTTCCACTCTTTCCCCATACCCATCGATGCCAAAAAATCTGTTGAGGCCAGCCTTAAATTTATTTAACGATGAAGATCCAATTGCTGGTAAAGCGGGTTAGAATTGTTAGTTGGTGGTTTTTGACTGATGCAGACTTGATGGGCCAAAGGGCCTTTCTTTCAGCACTGTAGGCCTCTAGACACATGATGGAATATATCTCGGTGAGGTAGAAAATCCTTGAGATTCACAAGCCTTTGAGTGAAGCTATTTCTCTTCATCTCAGTCCTTAATGCTCGCTCTCTGATTCTGGAGACACAGCTCATTTCCCAGCCAGCAAACCAATCTCTCAATGTCCCCTTCAGAACTTTCTACATTTCAATTAGATCATCTCTCATTTCTCTGAGTGCCAGAGAATACATCCCCAACTTATTTAGCCTTTCAACACAGAAACTGATCCATCTACCCTTTGCTATACCATTCCCCGAGATGGACATATCCTCAAGTTTGGAGACAAAATCTGTGCTCCAGGTTTTGTCTTGTGAAAGCTCTGTACAATTGTGGCAAGACTTCCTCATTCTTGAATTTCAAACCCCTTGCATTAAAAGCCAACATGCTGTTCACCTCTTAACTGTTTGTTGTATCTGCGTGTTTCTCATGCAAGTACACCCCCAAGTCTCTCGGAACATCAACATTCGTAAGGCTCATGACATTGGTTCCTAAGGCTGCACCAATTGTCTCAGGAGGTTCTCAAGACTGCATTAATAGTCACAGGGTCTCCAGAGAGTCTAGGACCAAAACGAGGGGTGGCTCATATGAGTAAATGAACAAGTGAAAAAGTACAGCACAGGAACAGGTCCTTCGGCCCTCCAAGCCTGTGCCGACCATCATGCCCTAAATAATCTAAAAACAAACCTGCCATTTTTCGATCCGTATCCCTCTATTCCCTCCCTATTCATGTACCCACCTCGGTGCCTCTTAAATGTCTTCAATGTGCCCACTTCCACCACCTCTTCTGGTAGTGCATTCCAGGCTGCTACCACTTCCCTCGCACATCTCCCTTAAACTTTCCCCCTCTGACCTTGAACCTGTGCCCCCTTGTAATTGAAACTTCAACCCTGGAAAAAAGCCTCTGACTATCCACCCTATCTATGTCTGTCATAATTTTGTAGACATCTATCAGGTCTCCTCTCAGTCGCCGTCTTTCCAATGAAAACAATCCCAGTCTTTTTAACCTTTCCTCATAGTCAATGCCCCGGAGACCAGGCAACATCCTGGTGAACTTTCTCTGCACTCTCTCCAAAGCTTCCACATCCTGCTGGTAGTATGGTGAACAAAACTGCACACAATACTCCAAACTCCATATAAAACAGAGATGAGGAGGAATTACTTCTCTCAAAGGGCAGTGAATCTGTGGAATTCTACCAAAAAGACTGCTGTTATGGTTGGGTTGTTCAGTATATTCAAGGCTGAGATAGACAGAGTTTCAATCAGTCAGTGGAATCAAAGATTAGGGGGAAAAGGCAGGAAAACGGAGTTGAGGATCGTCAGAACAGCCATGATCTCATTGAATAATGGAGCAGACCTGATGGGCTGAATGGCCTACTTCTGCTCCTACATCTTACAGGGTATCCCTGGGAACGTGCCAACATTCACAGGAAATCTCTCACACAGTAACATGTTAAAGCTAGCACCCGACATGAATCATCATCCTGAACAGATGAAAGAAAACAAATGACTGAAGAGAAAACAATTTTTCATATTTCATCTTCATCAATGTTCTTTCAGGAAACACTCTCCGAGCGCGAGAGAAATAAGGATTTACAACTGAAGACCTTACCTGACCAAATAGCTTTCTTTGCATTCCTAATTTCAACAATCCTTCACCCTAATTACAAGCAAGTTAAACAGTGCATTGTGCACCACTCTTATTCTCCAGCACAATCACTCAAACACATTAATTGCTCTGCATGAAATGAATTTAAAAGATGCCCTATATGTTAGCTGTGCTTGGCATGGAGCACTGTTCAGGCAGGTGCCCGGAACTATCAGCTGCGAGGGATTTCAGGCAGCTGGTATCAGGTCCTGCCAACCAGAGAGGGTGACAGCTCCAAACCTGATATTCGGTGCCTACAATGCAAGTTCTGCTAATTTGAGTGAGAAACACATGTGGCTCGGTTTATAACAGGATGAGAACATAACTGATTAGAGTCATAGAGATGTACAGCACAGAAATAGAGATGCTTAGCACAGAAACAAGACCCTTCGGTCCAACTT